TATACTAACGAAACAGCATAGGAAAATAATAGCATGTGTGGGGCAGGCCTAAAATCCTAAAAGGAATATAACTGCAGGCCTGACATTGAGTATACAACTCTCCTACTTGCCGATGCCAAGCCTAGCATGTCCAGTACTGTAACAAGCCTCTGTATTGTTCTATTTTAAAACCTGCTGTCCAATTAAGATGCACTGACGTGATTTTTGTCTGGATTGTTGGAGGAAGGAAAAATGACAGGCCTCTCGCATCTGCGGCCTGCTGAATTGAAACGCTTGGGCCTTTTCCATGGATAATAATGGTGCTTTTCTCTTCCTCACAGATACCACAACATAGGGATTCTTGTGCTCTTCCTTCATGACTTTAGTGACATCCAGCTGGAGTTTACCAAACTCAACGTTTACTTCAAGTACCGGGGCGGCATTTACCACCGTTTAAACGACACCCTTTCCAATGCTGGCTGCGTCTCCTTCAGCGTTAGTTGGTGAGTCTGTAGGGTAGCCTTTATTGCAGTGGTGGGTTTCGGCTCCCGTAGCACCCGGTACGCTGCACCACGGGCGTCCGCGCTGCGCATGCATGCGCACCCACAGCCTACGACGCTCCAGCTGCTCAGTGGAGTGCAGGCACTGTATGCTGCGCGTGTGTGCACAGATCGCCCGTTTCCTTCAAATACAGGTAAGGAACGAGGGCGGGCGGGCCCTCCAAAGTACCATTCCGGTATGGTGGCTGCTGCTTCCGGCAGGCACCGGTACGCGCGTAATGGGGCGTACCGCCTGCAACCCTCCACTGCTTTATTGTCATTGTACATCATGTGTACAATGAAATTGATTCTGGTCCTGAGATCTAACGGGACCCAGCCTAGAAAAGAAACTGGAGGGGATATTATGAATTATTGCAGGTAGTCCTTGATTTACGACCACAGTTCAGCCCAAGATTTCTATTGCTAGGCAAGAGAGTTTTTTAAGTGAGTTTTGTCCCATTTTACCTCCTTTCTTGCCACAGTTGTTAAGTGAATCACTGAAGTTGTTAAGTGGATCTGGCTTCCCTGTTGACTTTTGCCTGTCAAAAGGTTGCAAAAGCGGATCATAGGACACTGCAACCATCATAAATATATGCTAATTGCCAAGCATCTGAATTTTGATCCCATGTCCCTGGGGATGTTACAATGGTTGTAAGAGTGAAAAACTGCCATAAGTCAGTTTTTGTGGTAGCTATGAACGGTCACTAAATGAATGGTTATAAGTCGAGGACTACCTGTATTTGGCTGTTGCTCCAGTTGAATCTTCTGTAGAACATGGTGGCCCTGTCTTCAAATCCTTTTTAAAATAGGCTGCTCTTAAGGAAAAAGCTTTCTGGTAGCTGTAATTGTCACCAGTCTTAATTCTTAATTCAAAGCCCAAACCTGCTTGTGAATGTTTGGGGAGAAGAATATGGCAGCCACAGAAGTGACAGTGCAAAAAGGGTTAATGATAATAAGAATATTAAGCCCAGTAAATAGAGAAAGCATGAGAAGGAAGCTCAGAATGGACTCACCATAATTTACTGAGGTATACAGTAAGGAGGGAGCATGACGGCTTTACAGTTAAAACAGTGGGCTTATTGGCTGGGAAGTTAACCGCCCAGATTTGAGACCGAAGCACTGTGCAACATGGTGAGCTCCTATTCCTTGCCCCAGCTGCTGCCCATCTAACAATTTGAAAGCATGCAAATGTGAGTAGATAAATAGGTACCACTTTGGTGGGAAGATGCGAGTAGATAAATACGTGCTACTTCGGTGGGAAGATGCAAGTAGATAAATAGGTACCACTTCGGTGCAAGTAGATAAATAGGTACCACTTTGGCGGGAAGATGCGAGTAGATAAATACGTGCTACTTCGGTGGGAAGATGCAAGTAGATAAATAGGTACCACTTCGGTGCAAGTAGATAAATAGGTACCACTTTGGCGGGAAGATGCGAGTAGATAAATACGTGCTACTT